AGATTGAGAGGATTTCTGAAATATCACATCTTGGAATTCCGAATTCTTTAACTATTTTTCAAGAGAACAGTAGCTAAGGAATTCGGAATTTGAAGAAGTTGCATTTGAGAAATTCTATTCTTTCAAGGTTGTCATCCTGGTTTCTTTGTAAATTGTTGCCATGCCTGTTGCCCGGTTCACACACCTTCCCAGTTTTTTGAACAGTAGAGGTTTATCTCTTGTTTCCTGATTAGGATTGCGTTTTCGGTTTCGTTCAAAGTCTACTTCCACACTATACTTATAACATCTCCAACTGAACTCTGAAACGTTATTCACTAATTAAATTTTGACCACTTCAAATCTAGAGTTAGCTGTTATATATCCTGCATAGACCCTATAACATCTTACGCTAATCTAGCACCACATGGTCACACTCTACCTTAAATGACTTTTGGGCTTTGTATTAGGTGAACATTAATTGAAAAATGTTTTCAAGCAATGAAAGAATGCAGGAAAATTATAATAATTCAAAGTGGGCGAAGGCTTTGCACGGTACTATATATATATATATATATATATATATATATATATATATATATATATATATATATATATATATATCGCGTTTATATATATATATATATATAATATCCCATTTAGTGCTGATGTTAATAAAATAGTGCTCGATGTAATATAACAAAGCTATAAATATATATATATATATATATATATATATATATATATACTCATCAATGGCACGACTCGGAATTTATTTCTATATTATTTATAGCTCTGTTATATTGCATCGAGCACTATTTTATTAACATCAGAACTCAATGTGCGATATATATATATATATATATATATATAGTGTGTGTGTGTGTGGTTGTTTCTGCACAAAAGTCATCACCACTTCAAATCATATGTGCTGGCGTTTATCTGTGGATTCCAAGCAACTGAGCTGCTTGATCCACATGCTTTATATACGACGGGAGAGTCCACCATATATATATATATATATATATATATATATATATATATATATATATATATATATACTTATACTTTCAAACGCTATTATAGTGGACATTTCGTATTTGAAATAGATGTCTCATTTACATTTTTTAAACAGGGTATGTATATGTATATCTGGCCACGCGTCTACCCAATTTCACTCACAAGTTTTCAGTCAACTCGTGGTATGGTTTTGAGGCACTTTCCAATCTGCCGCACGCTGGGATTGATCTCTCCAGTCAGATAACACCAGGAAGTCTGCTTCCTGAAATATCGACCATGGTGAAATTCGAACCTGGGCCTCTTGCGAACGTTCTAACCACTCGGCCATGTACCCATTAAACAGGGTATATTACATCTATCGGCCTGAGCACGAGATAAATCATAGTAAAGAAAATGTATTCTCCGGCAGAGATCGAACGCGCACCCAACTTTGTAAAGGGAATCACAGTTTGATCTCGTGTGTCTTTCTGCTCGTCTACCACGGCTTAAACTATCGTTTTCCCTACAAATTTGCATGCAGGTTCAATCCCTGCCAGAGAGCACATTTTCTTTACTAAGATTTCTTACGTAATACACTGTTTGATAAATACAAATAGGTCGTGTATTTCAAATACGAAGTGTGTCCACTATAATAACGTCTTGCGTTCAGTTTTGCATAAATGACCTAGGGAAAATCATGTATTATCCTTTCTCCCTATAAATATGGGCTAAATAGTAGAGCAAACGGGGCTCTAATATTGGGCGATAACTTGTCAAAGAGAACATCTCTAAATTCCAAAAGCTGGATAAAGTAACTGTAAGCCAGTTCACTATCATTCCCAAGAAGTCATGCCAATCTACAGATAATAAAAAATGAATCCGGGGAGAGCTATGATTGTCATGGCATTCTAAAGAAAATGCATTATTTAACACGGCAGTAGATGTTTATTTAAGGTGTTGACAGCTTGAGTGGCAGATGAAAATTTATCTAATTTTTTCTACGGTGGAAGTACCTGTAAAAATTTCTTGAGGAATATAACGTAACCGCCATTTTTATATAATTTTTAACTATCCAGTAATCTTAAAATCTTAGGAAAATATTCTCCACAATTTACTGTTTTATTGTATTTTAGTTACTTTACATTTAATAAAGTCATCGCTCTTATATGTGTATGGACATCCATATTTACAAAAATAGGCACTTTTATACGCACAAACACAAAATTTAAAAAAATTCTTTTTGAAAATATTGCAGGTCGATGAATTGTATATTTTCCTTTTACGATTGGTAAATATAATTTTTACTTAATATACATATATATCCAGCATAATGGTTAGACATTAGAGGCAATGATGTCTTAATCTAGCTAACGTTTTACCATTATGTGGCATATATTTTTAGAAGTACATCTGCTACATCCTACACACACACACACACACACACACACACACACACACACACACACACATATATATATATTATAATAAAATATAATAAAAAAGGCTTAAGGAATATTAGTATTTAAGCCTTTTTATTATAGCCTTGTTCTGTCCTGAACATTGAGTTCTACCTAGATTCTATATATATATGTGTATGTATATATGTTTGTATATATATTTATATATTTTAGATATATGATTGCATATGTATGTGTATATTTACCACTATTATTATCAATCTATATATATATATATATATATATATATATATATATATATATACACGTTTATTACTATTAACATTATAAGATATTATATTCAAATATATGTAAATCGTTGCATCAATGCAGCCATATTTCGATGCCTATCATAGCATCTCATCAGGTGGTGTTAAGTCTTACCACCACCTGACAAGATACTATGACACGATTCGTTCGCTTGTGTATCAGCTAACAGCTAAAATTAATACAGAAATTTAAAAGATTTCAAACTTTTAAATTATTCTAATAAAAAACTTAAAAAAATGAAAACATTGTAGTGAACCGTGGTGTGAAGATGTAAAGAACAGACGTGGGTTAAAATTTCTTGCTAGCCGATCCAACTACATGAGAATGTTGGACTTTAAGTCCAAAGGAGACAAACAAGACCGATAACCATATATAAACAAATATATGAATTAACAACAAGTTACAAGCACATGGACAGTTACATTGAGTTTGTATGGTGAATATTATATGTGTGTATTGTAGTGAGTGTTCGTACGTACGTGTATTGGTATTGTTCTTAGCGTGTTCCCAGAATTTGGGAAACGCTGTATTGGTGAGAGCTCACATATTGGTATTAACTGAAATGAAGAAAGAAGAGAAAGAATTACCTCACCTCCACGCGAGGTGGGATACGGCCTAAGGCCTGAGCGGGAAAGAGATCGAGGCAAAAGGTCACCCAGTATTTATAGCAAGGGGAGAGAGACCCCTGGTGAAGGATTAAGGAACTAAGGAGGAGCTAACTCCGACAACATTTCTTGTAAAGATTCATTATTCATCGAGAAATGTTTTTCTTTAGACAATAGTGTGCATAATATATCTTGTTCATAAAAGCAATTAAAAGCTTTCTTAAGTAAATAATGTCTTAGTTTTACTGCTTTATTTATTTGAAGATTCAGAGTAGATTTTCGGTAACTGGGAATCCTTTTTAAAAATAATGATAATTTTAATTCTCCAAGTAGTTCTGCTTTTAACTAATATAAATATTAAGAGTTACAGATTTAATTTCCCAAAACTTCATGAAATTAAATATGTGTGTGTATGTGTGTGTATGGAGACAGATTTGAAAAAGAAATATTTTTACCAAAATGTTCTAAATAAGAAACATTTCAAAAATACTTTAATTTATCTCTAAATAACTCCTGAAAGTTTCATTAAAATCCGAAAATTATTTAATTCTTACCGAAAAGAAAAGTGCTTAAAAGATTACTATCCTATTTTTGGTTCCCCACTACCAAGTGACGCAAGGAAATCAAGATTTTAACCAAAATCTCGAACGTTCTAAATATGATTTAATGATAAAAATATCCTTTGGTGTTTCCTTATTTTAATAATAACATAAAGATTTTCACCATGGTTTGCTTATTTTTTAGGGAATCTGTATGGAGGGCATATATATATATATATATATATATATATATATATATATATACATATATATATATATATATATATATATATATATATATATATATATATATATATATATATGCGTGTGAGGTGTGTGTGTGTGTGTGATGTTGGATCCAGCCACTGTTTAAAGGAGGGCATGGCAAGTGCCTTGAACAGAATTTGAGCTGACACTGGCAGTGAAGATCTCGTTACACACGCTTTTTCGAGTTGTGGGGACGAGGATGAAAAGTCGATGAGTTGCTGACTTCGTAACTGATACAAATTACGAATGGTTGCATGTTTTACTAACACAACAGAACAATGTCAAGATTTTGTGCTGTTGACACGTCCTCCGCATTGACATTCTGGTCTGGAAGCTTCTGCTTGGAATGAAAATGCTGTGCTCGTAGATAACAAACTACCCACCGTAAGATTTTGACACAATAGCAGTTTAAGCAGTAAATCATTTTGTTTCTCGCATTGTATGCATAGATGATTAAATAAATTTAAGCTAATCTATTACTAATCTAAAATAAGGGCAACGAAAGCCTATGACATTATTGTATTGGTTAACAAGCTATTTTCTAGTGAATTTGATCCTCACCGTCGATCCCTGCTCGTGACCCTGTGTGGAATCTAAACTACAATTAGTGACTACTATATAACAGGCACCGGCGTATAACTAACACTTAAAATTTACCAAGGAATATTTAGAAAATATTCAACTAACGATTCATCCATCCTTTGAATTTTTTTTATTCAAAGACGCGTTTCGCAGGAAAAAAAGCTTAGCTTCTGTTCATTTTGTTTCATCAGTTCAGCTAAAAATATAAATGTATTTGCTTGAAAAAGCGAAGACGTTGAAATAAACATTAAATTTGATCGAAAAGCGAGCTGCTTAAGAGAAATTGCACCACTTGTAATTTCAATATGTCTTCGCTTCTTTTCGTCTATCTATCTATCTATCTATCTATCTATCTATCTATCTATCTATCTATCTATCTATCTATCTATCTATCTAAGTCTGTTTACATCTATCTATCTATCTATCTATCTATCTATCTATCTATCTATCTATCTATCATAATGATGAGAATAACCGTTTTCTCATAAGCAAACATTCGGTATTCAGTGACCGAAAAACTATTACCAATGTCAGTTGAAATTTATAAAATCCTTGTCTTAAAATAGTTTTTAGCAAAATATTTGTCTCAAGTTCAATATTATTGTTCTTTTTTTATTATTGATTGTGTTTTCCTCCCTAACATTTAATTCTGGGGTCATAAGACGGCTAGTGCGTCAAACATAGATGTTTTCTTGTTATTCTGGAACTAGTGATCCGACTATAGGAATAATTATTTTTACAGTGCGTTTTATATAGAGAAAAACAAATGACCTGTAGGAAAAAAAAAGAAGTCTGTTTTTTAGTTCATTGACAAATTTCACTGTGTCGATGTAAAAAAGAATACTACTTGAGTCTTATATAATATTTTGGTGTTTTCTGTTCATTTATTTGTCTTATATTAATAAGTCAACTTAAGAGGGAAGGTGTCATATGCATGGTCAAAGAAAAACTCAAAATTCTGCAAGTTGTACACGGAAGAAGTCAGCATTAGGTGAATATACTCACATGTCGAGAAAACGTGTTATGAAAAACATTAAATGTGCGAAAATAATTTCCTATTCGGAGACATTATAGAAAATTAAGCAACATAAAATAAACACTTAACAACAATTTTCCAAACCAGGTTGTTAATAAAGAATATATATGTGTGTGCGCGCGTATGTGCGTATATATATGAATTGGTATATACAGAGAGCTTTACACACATATGTATGTTCATATATATATATAGCTTCAGAAATACCTCACACATATAAATCCAGCATAATGGTTAGACATTAGAGGTAATGGTGTCTTAATCTAACTAACGATTTACCATTATGTGGCATACATTTGTGGGTGTACTTCTGCTACACCCTATACATATATATATATATATATATATATATATATATATATATATATATATATATATATGCTTAAACACTAATATTTCATGGTCATAATTTATTCCATTGAATCGTACATACGATCCAATTCATCAGATCTACAATTTCAAAAAGAAAACAGAAAAAACAACTCCGGGAATAAAAAAATAAAATTTAGTGAGAATCTATGTATGAGAGTGTGGGACGAATGTTAGAGTAAATGAAAGCTATAGAGAGGGGTAACAGATGAGAGAAGAACAGGAGAAGAACAGGAAGGTCTAAAGATGAAGGGGGGATTAAAATTAACAGAGAGAAGTTTTAAAGATGGGAGACAAAGACGGTTTAAGTGAGAGAAATATGAATGTTGTCGGATGTCTAATACATTAAAGATGTAACCGGAAAGGATACATACACACACAATAGACGATATAATCTTAAAGATCAGAAGAAGAGGGAGGGAGCGGAAAAGAAAAGAAAAAGGGGTGGGGAAGAGAGATGGGAAGGGGGAAATAAACCGAAGGACATTTATAAAAGGGCCGCTGTGTAATTAAGAAAGCCACTAATATTATCTCTCTCTCTCTCTCTCTCTCTCTCTCTCTATATATATATATATATATATATATATATATATATATGTGTGTGTGTGTGTGTGTGGTTGTGTTATATTGGTAAATATATTATAATAGTATGCCTAAATCCTTGCAAATGGCTAATAGCTTAGGAGAAAGCGCTCGGGATCAACAAAGCTTTGGACAATTTTTGTACTCATTAAATCTAGAAAAAAAGAAACAATACTTGTATGCATCGAAGAGAAATATCATAAAAACTAAACAAAAGTACCTTGTCAGTCTTTTTCGACGAAACAAATTCCCGTACGCGTACACACACACACAAACACATATATATATATATATATCCAAGTATAGGATTGGTGTATACGGAATAAATTCCAATAACCAACAATTACTATTCTTAAAAGAGTGCTCAATACAGAGTTGAGCAGATATAATTATTTATTTAAAAATTATAACATAAATATGTTATGAAATCACTACAAAAATAACCATTTTTTTCAACACCTCTGGTGACTTATCAAGTTGGTATGCTGGCCTTCTTCGTAAGCTTTAGGGATACAGCATTACAGGATTATTATTTTACAATACAATCATATATATATATATATATATATATATGCTTTATTGATTCAGGATACTGATTGCTTATATTGTGACATACCAAATGTTAAAAGGAGACCGAAAAAATATGCAGATGTTCAAATTTTCATCGTACATATGGCATTTTGGCGACTGTTAAAAGTTCATAACAAAATATTAATTTTACGAAAAAGAAGAATCGGTAAATTTTCCTCACGCTCTCAAAGAAATTAATGGCCTACATTTGGCAAGCCTTACTCTTGTTGCAAAACTAATATATTAATTAACTTGAATAATTCTAAATCCATTAAACTTGGCCTGAAATTTTTTTTGTTTTCATCAAAGCTTTTCGAAAGTTTAAATTTGGTTAGAACATTATTTTTATCTTCTCATTACTTTTATCTTCTTTGAATTAAGTAAATTCATACTGGTAGGTGAAAGAGAGTTGCATCTGATGGGAGACATAATTAGACGAGAAGGCTTGGAGAAGTTAAAACTCACAAGGAACATTGAAAGCAATACATGTAGAGGTAATCAGTTACAGGGCGCATGGGTAGAAAATACTGCAGTGTGTGTGTCTGTATATGAGAGAGAGAGAGAGAGAGAGAGAGAGTGATTGAGAGAGAGAGAGAGAAAGAGAGACACACAGACACACAGACACACAGAAAGATAGAGAACGTAAAATGGTAATTATTGCTAATTGATTGAATTTTTTTACAGCGTTTCAAGGAATCGGAGAGCCGAGTTCGAATTCCAGACGAATCCATTACATTCACTTACGTGCTAATACCCTTGGGAAAGGTATGAATCCTCTTCTTCTCCCCCCCCAGCTATGGGTAAATAGCAGGAATGACTGGGTTCTGTAGCCTTGGATGGCAACTGGTCTACCGCAGAAAGAAATGGCAGCCTACTGAGGGAAAAAATCTGCCTCGTCAGTCATGTATCGAAAGATACATGATCGCATAAGCGTGTATCACACATGATACATTATTGACTGACTGATGAGTCCTTTGCAGGTAATTTAAAGCCAGAAAAAATTGGGGGGCTTGTAAGAATTTTTTTTTTTTTGGCGTTGGAGAATATTGATTTAATGATGCAAGTTTTACTAATTAACCCATATCTGGGGAGAGAAGAGGTGGATTCATACGTTTCCTAAAGGCATTTTCGTATAAGTGAATATAACAAACTAGATTAGGATTTGAACTCGGCTCTCCGATTAACAATTCTGACTCATTATCCATTACACCGTCTGCACATCCATGCTTACAGCACCTGGTATTCCCAACCAGTCACCCATCAAGGTGGCCGTAAATCTAAGTATTCCTTAATGCAATAAAAGAGAGAAGACTGTGAAGAGCCATAGCCGCACACAACTTGAAGGGACATAGTACGTAGGAAGATACATGCTGTGTTGAAAATAAGGAAGAGATTTGTTTGTCAATTGCTATCCTATTTATAACATGCTTTGACTGTTGTTGCCACGTCTGGTCTGGTGCATCTGCTATGTATTTAGAGGTTCCTAATAAAATACAAAGAAGAATCTGCAATGGTATTGGTCTGAAACTGGCATCTCGGCTTCAGTCACTTTCCCACCCTCGTAACGTAGCATCCCTGTGCCTTTTCTAAAAGTACTTTCATGTTAATTGTACGAATGAACTTTCATCTATGTATATAGACTTTATGCATTTAAGCGTAATATTAGATTGGCGCCAAGGACTCAGCATTTTGCAGTTGAAAGCGCTAGATGTAACCGTAAGTTCTATGCTAACAGTTCCTTTTTCTGCATTTCTCGCTTTTGGAACTCTCTTCTGGCTTCTTGCTTTTCATTCAACTTTGATCATCAAAAATCTAAATGCAATATAATTCGTTATCTTTCGTCTTCTTCATTCCTCTTTTTTCATTGTTCTCTCTCCTTTTTCCTCGTATTCTCTTACACCCAGTAACACCCTTCGTTCTTAGTGGCTTTATTGTCTTACTTGGGGTGAAACGATTAAAAAAAAAGGAATATTTGTTATAAAAATAAATTGCATACAATCTTTCTATAAAATTTTTTGTGATGTCAACGAAAACTCGTTGCTACTTTTGTGATGCTAACGAATACTCGTTGTCAGTTTCGTAATGGTCGTTGTAGTAGAGACTTTGTAATCGCAGATACAGCTATAGTAACGCCGTTGAACAATGCTGATGTCAGACGCCTTTGAATAACACTCGCGCTAATAGTACTTGCTCGATAATACCCGCTCGAACAGTAATCTGTGTAATGATCCAATAAAGAAATATTGCAGTGATTAGAATAGAGAATAGCGGTCCATATAGTAATAGACTAGAATGAAGATCAATTAGACACACACTACCTCCCATGTATGCGTTTCCTCTATGGTCACGTGGTCTGCTTAATTCAATAATCGGTTCGCCTGTATTTGCTCACTGGCGATCTATGTAAATGATTTGATTACATACTTGTATCAGGATAAAAAGGATCCTCAGCTTTTTTGTTTTACTGTTTGTTCACCCAATACAAGGCCCAATGGCTACTGAAGGTTGACGCTTACTGCTGAGTGAGATTGTTGAAAGGTGGATGAAGGAGGCAGTAAGAAATGCGTATTATGAGAAAGTAGAATAAATATCGGTTGACCCTAGACTTAAAGTAATCAAATTTCTAGTTGACAAGGAAGTATCATCTGAGGAGTTTGCTCCACAAAATAACAGTTCTAATGAAGAAGTTCGAGTGGAACTTTCTTCTTATCAAAGGAACCCGAAGACAATGGACATGTCGAGTATAAGGAATGTGTTGAAGTTTAAATAACTGGGAAGTGTTTTGACAGGGGACGGTAAATTCGACAGTGAGATCTGTAGACGTATTAGGATGGGCAAGGACGCATTCCAAAAGCTGGGCAGAGTATTGCGAGACAGGAGGATTTCATTGGTAACAAAGAAAAGAGTACTGAACTGTTACGTGTCATCTACCCTTTTTAATGGCAGCGAATGTTGGATGGTCTCCTCCAAGATGAAGAAGAGATTCAAGGCGACGGAGATGTGGTTCTACAGAAGGACCTAGCGTGTGAGCAACGATGATGTCTTGGAGAGGATGCAAACAAGGAGGAGGCTTATACTTATCAGGAAGAGGCAGCTGAAGATTTTGGGACACGTAATGAGAAAGGAGAGCCTGGAGAATCTGATACTCACAAGTCGAATAGAGGGTAAAAGAGACAAGGGAAAGCAACGCATGACCTACATAGAGGGCTTAAGCAAGTGGATGACAGAACGTGGTCTAGAGGAGGTGGCAGAAGGCCGAAACTTACTGAGAGCCACAAAGGATAGGGGAAAGTGGAGAGCCACGATCGCCTACATCCTGAAAGGACACAGCACATAAAAAGAAAAAGAAGAATCCGTGCCAACATCTTCCACAGTAATAGCGATAATGTGGCGAGAGGCTTGCAACATTTTGTGTGTGGGTAATTAAGTATTATTAAGAGAATAGGATTATGGACAGAATTGTAATCATTTTGTAAATATTCCTATACTTTTATACACAGAGGTTGAAGGCAGTGCGGAGTAATGAATAGTGGCGCGGATTAATGAATCGGAGAGCCGAGTTCGAATTCCAGTCGAATCCATTACATTCATTTACGTGCTAATACCCTTGGGAAAGGTATGATTCCTCTTCTTCTCCTCCCCCAGCTATTGGTAAATAGCAGGACAGACCTTGGATGGCAACTGGTCTAGGAGAAGGACAACTCACAAGATCAATCAGTGGTTGCTACATGGTTTCGGCCTTGTTCTATAGCCTTGGATGGCAACTGATTTACCGCAGAAAGAAATGGCAACTTACTACGGGAAAAAAATCTGCCTCGTCAGTCATGTATAGAAAGATACATGATCGCCTAAGCGTGTATCACGCATGTCATATAACTGACTTATACACAGACGAACTACATTCTTTGGTTCCTCCAGATGTTACCTTCACGACCGAGACCCGCCATGCCATGAATATTGTAGTGAACGATTTTAATTCCCTTCTTATTTCATTGGTGCCACTCGAGTAGCTTCTTTCCACGAAGCTTTGTGAAACCAGCTCCCAAGGAGATGCTTCCCCGATCACTATAATCTTAACCTGTTTAAGTCTAGGTTTAACGGTTATCTTCAATACGTATCCTCATAAACTGTGATGACTATTATGTAAACCTCTACCTTGAGTGGCTCTTGGAACTTGTACAAGTTGAAAATTACTGTAAAAAAAGAAAAAGTCAGGATGACTAGAAATAATGTAATAGAATATAGTCGTTACATGAGTAATTTACTAAACAAGATTCCTCTCTTAGTAATTAATTTAAGATTTGCATACTCTGTTTAATTTCGTTAATTTTAATTTCTACTCGCTATGAATTTAACAAAAATAAAATACGAAAATAAAACATTGTGATGGAACGGATTATTTTCGTCCACTAAGTTAGTTTAAAGTTTGCATTGTAATTCAATTTCTGAAATATTTCGAAAGTCATAACCGCATTTTTAAGTCGAGTCAGCCAAAACGCATTTCTAAGTTAAGACGACGTCACCATGAAATCAAAACCAAAATTAAATTCCGTCATTTGACAAAATAAAACCTCTTTGTTCTGTGCATTTCTTGTTTCTCAGCTGTTTCCCGTCTCGTATATCTTTTCCCTCAACCACCCACCGAAAGGGTCCCTGGTACTTAACTCTCAAATCTCCTTGCAGATACCCACTACAAACAAGGGCCAGGCAATTAGATTTCTTTCCAGGCAATTACAGTCGTTTTAATCGTAGAGTCGAACAATCCTTGCCAAGTATAACGCAACTATCACTTACAATTTCGCTGTTAAGAACCCTACTTGAATGATTCTGTTCTTATCAACATGCTGAAGATTTCTATCTCAAGAGTTCTCTGCTTGAAGCATCTTATAACAAAAGCAGCCAAAATGCTGTCAAGAAGACATAGATATTAATCTAGATTTATAACATTATGAATGTTTTATTAAATTAATTTGAAACGGTAGGCATTTTTTTATACTTATTTCGAACAATAACTTAAAACTTTGTAACTTTTTCTAAGAAATGCATTTTATGTTGGATTTGATTGTAGGTGCGTGGTTGGTGATTTTCTCTAATGTATTCATAGTAAAAAAATATTCAAAACAATAATATAAAAATATTTTAATATTGTTATCGATTGCACAAAATTTGATTATGGCAGTAAGAAATTTAAAAATGAATATATACCTAATTATATATATATATATATATATATATATATATATATATATATATATATATATATATATATATATATATAATTGAGATATATAGCGTTTGATATATGGCGTTGTATGTTATAATACAACGCCATATATCAAACGTAGAATTGGAAATTGAGTGACGAAATATATCTTCAGCGTTTTCTCGATGTAGAATTTTACCTGAATTATAATTCTATCTATCTATCTATATCTCTCTCTCTCTCTCTATATATATATATATATATATATATATATATATATATATATATATATATATATAATAGCTGGCCACCTCGTATTCGGGGGTGTCCATCTATTAGGCAGCTAATTGCAGAGGCCCGCTCAGACACATTTTTGTGTTTGCTCAATACGCACAAAGCCCACCTGTCGTTTATACTGCAACTATGCTGAGCAGACCTTAGTTACAGTTTCTGGGAGAGAGCGTGTTATCTAGCGTGATCAACAATTTGAACAAGGCCAGCACGCTCAAGCCCTCGGCCACGATGACTTGTGGCTTCGTGCTAGCACAGCTATCGATCGAACGCTGGAATCGACCTCGATCCAGTCAGATAACATCAGGAAGTCGCTCTATTTCTGATATTTACTACTTTTGCCCCATGTTGTAGTGGCTGGTTAGAAATATCATTAAGTAGCATATCTGCTCGCTACAGTGTTACTTGTCCTAGTCGTAGCGTTGATATCTCTCAGTTGCGTCTCTGCCTTCGGCCAGGCTGCAACTTAGTTGCGTCTCTGCCTTCGGCCAGGCTGCAACTTAGTTGCGTCTCTGTCTGCTGACAGAGCGCAAATAAAAAAAAAAATATTCATATTTGCTCGGTACCGGCGAACAGCTGCCCGAGGCAGTATCCTCTCGTTGCACTAAAGATATGGATCGTAAGTAATGCTGATGCCAAGGCAACCGACGGTTGAGAGAACTGGGCTATTTTTTTGACCTGGCCCAAGTGTACGTGCTGGGTGTCTCATATTAAACCGACCTTGTGTCACATCTTATCAGCGTGAGGAAACGCAAAAATACGTTGGTACTACTGTTGGTAGTGGTACAAGCTATCTCTTGTGTGAATGGCCGGCGGAGTTCGCTCCAGTGCCAGTAGTATTAGCACAAGCCCCAGCGTACCTCTTCTTCGCTAGTGGACTGGGTTAATTACCCGGCGCCTGAAGTGTCCCCAAAAGGGCGAAGTGCCAAGGGGGCTTAAGAAATGTTCTACGGTACTACCGATAAACCCACGACCTTGTTTCACATTTCGTTGCAATGTGAGCGCACGTTTAAAAAAAATTGTAAATGGACTATAGAACTAATACTGGCCACATACAACTACAACCCCTAATTAGATTATCACACACACACACACACACACACACACACACACACACACACATATATATATATATATATATAGTTGTGATAATCTAGCTGACTGATAATATTTTTCAGATACAGTGTATGTGTAAAAGAACAAAATGAATAAAAACAAGAAACCATCGTCCTTTGATTTTTTAAGCAGATGACAAAAGGATAGTTTTCCTCTTGTTTTTTCATATATATATATATATATATATATATATATATATATATATATATATATATATATATATATATATATATATATATTAGCATAAAGCCGCCCTATCAGGTGGCATTTAAGCTAGCTTCTGTGGAGACATCTTGACTTAGCCTTCGGCTTGTTCAGGAGTTTGGGAATCCTTAAATCTTTGCATATTTTCAGCAATGGAATATCTCCTGGCTGCCGTTTGATCTGGGGTTTTCATTTGTACGGGACTTTTTTTTCCTCGCTGCAGCCTTGACTCTTTTGATTGCAATCTGGTCCTTTGTAGGTGGACGTTTCGTTTTGCTATCCATACTGCAGTCTTATGCGATAGACAACAATAAACTACAGAAGAACTGAAAATTGATCGCTTCATTTAAGTATTGCATTAATATTTAAGCTTACGTTTTTTGAAAAAAAAGTTCAGTTCTTCTGCCGCCACTTTAAAAAAAAAAAATAATTTGATGTACGTAGGTCAAAACTTTCCGTACAAACAATTATTTTTTTATTTCATGGGTGATATTCTGCTGGATTTCGCAATTAATTTCGATTATTTCCAAATTTATTTCCAAGTTATAAAATATGTGTGTGTGTGTATATATTCAAATGTTTTATATATATATATATATATATATATATATATATATATATATATTCATTTTTATATATATATATATATATATATATATATATATATATTTTCCTTGCCCTTCCATTTAATATCTGTCTTTTTTCAATAATTTCGTTTCAAAACAAAGTAAACATTAAACAATTTTTCTTACTTTTTGCTTTTGTTTAGTCCTTTTTTTTTTTATGTGCTATGATCTTTCATGATATAGTCGGTCGTGGCACTTCACAACTTCCTTTCTTTTTCGAGCCTGTTTGTCCCCTTACTGCCGTTTCCCCATCTTCTGTCATCCATTTATTCAAGCTCATTAGGTGGATTAATCACTGTTTCCCTCTGTTTCCGTTTTGTATTCAGTAAGCCCCGTGTGAGTCCAATTAGCCAAGCCCTCTTTCCTCATTATCTGTTTTACGGCCACATTCAGGTTGAAACACCGGTTCCTGTACGATCACCTAAGTTAAGCAACGTCGACTTTGTTCAGTATCTAGATAGGTGACTGTTTTGGAATACCACGTGGATGGGCGTATTGTATAATGGATAATTGAATTGGAAATCGTAGAGCCGAATTCCAATTGTCATTGGGTTCATTACATTCGCCTACGCACAAATACTCTTTGGAATGAACCCACTACTTTTCACGCCCCAGCTATTAGTAAGACTTATCGCTAAATCACTATTATCTCTAAAAAAAAAGAAATAAATGCAGAGGGTTGGTAAACCGTAAAAAACCTATTAATCAATCAATCATTTCCTTATTATGTGTCCCAAATATTTCGATGATTCTTATTTTGATATAGGCAAGCGAATAGACTACATCGAAAAGTTCGTCGTAATGACATGCTTCATGAAATAGTACCCGGTTGGTAATATTATTTAATATGATTTCAGTCATAAAGATAATACTTTTTTTTTCTGGATATAAAGCAATATTTTAATTATTTTGCATCATGTACAAATCACTTCGCTCCATTGAAAATTAATAACATGCTGAGTGTAATAGAATACTTCTATTACACTGGTCAAAAAAAAAAAACAACAACTTAAAATGGTGTCGAGACACTAACCATTTTTTTTAGCTAATTTAAGGGCGCTGAATCAGAAAATGACCTTACTTTTTCTTGGTTAGCTACCGTTTTTTGCTGTACAAAAATGCCTCATTTTTGGAAAAAAAAGCATTTTTTCATTTGTTTTCTGTATATGTGATATCGACCGATGGTAATATTTCTCAAAATAAAATCGTAGAAACCACTCAATTCATATTTAAACCAACAAATATTGGTCTGCTTATTGAGAAATACTATTTTTACAATAATAATCAGACCCTAAGTCTTTAAAATAACACGTTTGAATATAGCAAGAACAAGTATTTTCTTGAAATCATTTAATAAACTAACAGCAGAAATAAAACCTTCGTGAACTATGGTAAAAATTTTATCTTTCTTGATTGTCTGTCATGTTCAATGTTATTTAAGTCCCTTTTGATACACCAGCAGTATCATGTACAATGGAATATGTGCATTCAATTGGGATGTCTTTAGTTGAAGTTTCTTTCCAACTGTGAAAACAAAATGCTCTCAATGTGCATGGTTTCCTTCTGAAGTGATGAGATACATTTATGAATATCAAACAGAAGATTTTAAAGTTTCATTTTTTTTATGTTACCTTAATTATTAGGTTTACTAAAGGGTATTACTGATAAAGTTTATCTGTTAATTTGAATTTTGGTGATAATTTGGAAAAATTTGGTACTTCTATTTTAGAATTTTTGACTCAAAAACACTTTTCTTATAAAAAATAGTTTATTTCAGGTGGTTGACATAAATTGCTCAGCCTACCTGAAAATTAATGGGTTTCTACGATGTCTATTAACTAAATTTTGCATCAGCCAAGATATTAAATTGATCTTTTTTTTTCTTCCAAAAATGAGCAAATTTTGTACAACAAAAACGGTAGTTAACCATGAAAAAAGCCATTTTAGGAATCAACACCATCAGACTAGCTGAAAAATGTGTTTTGTTTCTTGGCACCAAAAATCGTGTTCACCATTTTTATTAGACCTTCCTTGTTATGTTACTCAATGAGATGAGGAAGTTTCTTCTTAACCCTAGAATACTAACCATCAATTAAAGTTACCCCTCTACTAACCATGGGTATAACATACCCGATTGTGAAAATATCAAAAAAAAAAAAATATATATATATTAAATATAAATCTTTATTTGAAATATTTTATATGTAGGCACTTCAAACATTGTAGTTTAAGTTAACATTAATAGGAACTGAAAAACATTATTTAGGTAAGAAATTCAGGTACTGAAAATTGTAATTAAAAATAGGAAAATTTACACTGGGTACTTTATACCCATGGTTAGTGTTCTAGGGTTAATAATAAAATATTCTTAATAGTATTTAGCATGCAAATTTAGTGGGATCAAAGTCATGCATAATTCAAGCTAGATAATCTCCTTGATATTGAGAACGTAGGATGTTTGTTGTGGCGTAATGGATAACGGTTCAGAATGAGAAATTGAAGAGTCGAGTTCGTTACATTCACTTTCGAGCAAATAATCTTGGGAACGGTATGAATCCATCTCTTCTCCTTTTAGCTATGGGTTGAATAGCAGGACAGACTGGATCCTATATCTTTGGTTGGCAAATAGTCTACAGCAGAAAGGAATAGCAACCTACTTGCCGATTCAAGTCATGAATCGAAATTGACATGATCGCTCAACCTTGTAACGCGTATGGCATTTGATTGACTGATGGTCAGTTTCGACGAACGCGAAGTTAAATGGCAAGTAAAAGGCTAGACATATATAGATCCGAAAATAGAAATGAAAGCAAATAAGAAATAAATAAAATATATAAAGAAACAATGAATTAAAAATAATAAGGAAACTTTCATAACTATAAGTAACCTGAAGCATTAGCCCTAAGCAAAATAAATGCGAAGGATCAGTTTTCTCTTTGTCCGTTTTAACTTAATCTACCAGTGGCCTACATATAGTGACATATGTCCTAAAGATTGATTGAGGCGTGAAACTGACTGTCACTATCCAGAGTTGATACCTAAGCTCATACTATCTATCTATATATATATCTATCAGCTCTACTTATTCGATTTGAAGCATTCTTCTATCTCGGATTCAGCAATAAATATACATACAACTATACACATAAAAAAAATGATGGAAAATTATTGTACTTTCTTACTCCTATAAAACGAATAAACTTAAAGATGCTGTAAAAACTTAATAAAAAATAATTAAATCAGCCTTGTCTGCCGTATGTAATGAAAGATGTTTGAAAGAAACGTCCCTGCCCAAAAGTCTATTAATATATATATATATATATATATATATATATATATATATATATATATGTATGTATGCGTATGTGTGTGTGTGTGTGTGTGTATGTGCATGTAAAATTTATTAAGACCTACAAAGACAGGAAATTGTGGATAGCCATGATCGCCTACGACACAGCACACAGACTAAATAAGTGTCTATTACATTGATCATGAGCCGCTCTAAACTCCATATATTTGCTTTAATTTAGGTTGAAAATAAAGACAAAAATTGTCCAACATTTGTATATTTCTTTTATTAAGCTGTTGCTTGATCTACGTTCACGAATCACATGAGCGATCTTCAGAGTGGTTATGCGGACATTTTAACAAAAATATTCACCATCGAAGATGATATTCTGTTATGTTGACATGCCCGACAATAATGATCTCGGAATATATATATATATATATATATATATATATATATATATAATAAACAGAAACTTGACGCCACGGAGCATATATACAGATTTAAAAATGCATGAAAGCATTCTTCTTCATTAACATATCCCTTTCAAGTAGCACATCGTCAGACGAATACGTTGGTAAATATTAATTAACCAAGAAAACATAACAATTAGCACTGAGAGAAAATATAAGGAGGAGAAAGAAAGAAACCACGACTATAACACACACACACACACACACACACACACACACACATATATATATATATATATATATATATATATATATATATATATATATATATATATATATATAACCAGACTAAACGCACAATTCTTGATAACGACTGTACTGACATTGGAGAGGACTCAGATGAAAAAAAAGATAAACTTTAGAAAGTCTATCTATTTTAATTCTGACATAAAACAACTTTGTCGGAATTTGTAAAAACTCGATCAAAAGTTGGACAGGCAGCCCTTGTCGGTGTTGTTTAATGAAACTTGTTTGGATGAATAGTTGATGCCTAAAAAAATAAAATTTATATATGCATATATATATATATATATATATATATATATATATATATATATATATATATATATATATATATATATATATATATATATATATATATATATATATATATATATATATATATATATATATATATATATATATATATATATATAACATACATATACGGCTCATGATCAAACATAATAGGCATTCGTTGTCTGTTATATTTAACAATATGTCTGAATAATGATCTGATGCCCTAATACACTATATATATATATATATATATATATATACGTATATATATATATATATATATATATATATATATATATATATATATATATATACACTTTTATATATATATATATATATATATATATATATATGTATGTATATATACGTAAGTGTATGTTAAAGCCGCTTTGAAACAGTCATTTTGATTGCTATTTACTGTAAGACCAAGTCTTCGTTTATACTTTCGCTAACATAATATAATCCCGTATACAATTCATTAATTCTTGCAGACAATCACATGTCAGCGATAATGCATATTATTCTAAGTATTTAGAGGCTTTACAGCAAATATGAATCATTCTTTGTGCATTGAATAATGTGATACGCCCACTTCAGTATGTCAGTGAGCCAGAAATGCTCAAAATCAAGCCCCTTATGCATGTATATATAAGAGTGTGTGCATATGTGTGTGTGTGTGAGCGCGCGATCCTGTTTGTGTGCGATTAGCTAGCTAGATAATCGGATACACGAGGTGAATTTCTGGGAATTCGTACATGAAATGAACTACGATAGAGAAATGAGGACTTGGTCTAACGCTTACGTGTACCGGAGAAGAAATTGGGCAACCAATTTCACAGAGTAGACTAACAAAATCTTGCAGCAGAATTTCATACTACATTCGCCTCCCACAAACGCAAACACACACACGCATATATATATATATATATATATATATATATATATATATATATATAAATATAATTTATTCGAAAATTATAACATAAATATAGAACCTACATTCAACATCATCACTTGATAAGACACCAGAAGTGTTGAAGCAAAATGGCTATTTTGGGGTGATTTTATAACATATCTATATTATAATTTTCGAATAAATTATATATGCTCTACTCTCTATTGAGCACTCTTTTTAGAATAGTATTATTTGGTTATTGGAATTTATTACGTATACACCAATCCTATAATTGGATATATAAATCGTGTAACAGCATAATTATCCATCCCACAAAATGTTTAATATCTAAAAAACACTAAACTAATTGAGTTTCTTTTTTTTCTGTTATTCTTATACGACATTTAGCCATTTTCACATCAATTTTCGTAGCAATCACTGACAAAGGTTTTAAGTTATTCAGCTAGAAAAGCGGGTAGTTTAAAATGGTTTTGTATCACCCCCACTAGAACTTCCCAACTGAGGAATTGTGAGACGAATAAGGATATTCAGGAATGGTACGACCATTCATATTCTCTTTCGTCTTCAAAGTCTATTCAAAAATCATCAAGAGAACGGTGAATAAGTTTTAAAAAAAGAGGGAAGAGTAGAGAGGAAATCTGAATCTAGAGGTCACAACCGGAAGAAGCGTCATCTTTTCATCTTAGAGCTAAATACATTCTTATTGTTCAGAGCCCAATAGTTTTATAAAAACCGAGTCATGTTAGCAGGGAGGGGTAATATACATATATTTACTAATATATTCTTTATAGCTCTGTTATATTTCATCGAACACTGTTTTATTAACACCAGCAATATATATATATATATATATATATATATATATATATATATATATATATATATATATGTTACATAACATAGGAATTAAGATTTACCGCATAGTTATGATCATTTCACCATAACAAGTTAAGATTTTCTTGTAAGATTTTTTCAAACCGATCAAGGTAATAAGATAAAGTAAAATTTTAAAGTTTCATTTTATTTTCTCTTATTACCTTGATCTGTTTGAAAATTCTTTCAAGTAAATCTTAACTTGTTAAGGTGAAATGATCATAACTAAATTTAATTTAAATCATTTAAATTCATATCAGAGCCAGATAGTTGTTAAAACTATCTGGCTCTGTTGAACGTTTCGATGTGAAACACTTGAGTCGGCTAGCCAGATTAGTCACATGAACTTTTCTTGGTTTATCTAATATTATAGTTCTAGTTATCTATTGAGTGTTTTTTGACAAAAATTCTCCTAGCCTGAAAACCATTAAATTCTCGTAATTTACGCGTATTTTATCAGCCGTAGTGTTATTGGCATTGCTCTATCTATCTATCTATCTATCTATCTATCTATCTATCTATCTATCTATCTATCTATTGAAGCCTGTTCATATCTATCTATCTATCTATCTATCTATCTATCTATCTATCTATCTATCTATCTATTTAAGCCTGTTCATATCTATCTATCTATCTATCTATCTATCTATCTGTTTGTCTATGTATCTCTCTCTATATATGTATGTGTGTATGAGAAAGCGAATGAGACAGAGAGAGACTGAAAGAAAGAAAGAGAGAGAAAGAGAATGTTGATATATGTATCATAATCCTCATAATCGTAATTTGCTCCAAAATCGAATTCAGTCTTTACAGCCTTTCACATCATTGTAACTATTGCTATGATTTTTAGCTTCATCAATATCATTGTCAACATGATTGATTAGGTAAGAGGGAAAAACCTATCTCGTGTTGTCAAATTGATGCATTTTATTAGCATTTGTTCCTTCCGTCTCACCTTCAGCACCTACCTGCTGTGAAGAGGTGGTACTGTCTGCTGAAAAATAAAAATCACGACCACGTCAGGTGATGCGAGTGACGTGAGACCCAATGTTACTACACTACCTGTGATTCTAAACTTCCTTCGTGTCATGCAGCGGCAGACAAGATGGCGCCTTTACTGATTGCACCAGTCAACTGCACCGGAAGGAGCACCACTCGGATAAACTTGGATATTACTTCATTAAATTTCACCAGAGCGTTTGTTTGGTAGCATTTGGTAGGAAATTTCTAAACAGAACCTCTGGACCGTTACCATCCATAAATTCATATATAAAAAGCACGTATATGAATTCTATCTATCTATCTATCTATCTATCTATCTATTTATGAGTTTGCATAACTGGATAGCAGAAAAGGGACAAAGACAAAAGAGTAGCGTATAAAAATTACTAAGAGTAACAAAAAGGAAGTTGTACAGAGTGATGATCGGCTACATCCTGAAAGTATTTGGCCCCTAAAATAAGTGAGTTGGAAATTCCCTGGTTGCCCTATGATCCCATGAAAAAACTAATCTTAGTAAATAAAAATATTCTGAGCGCCTCGAGATCAGCTAATATTTAGCCAGCTAATCTGGTCTGGTTTACCAGTATTACAGTTCTGTCCTCATTTGGGGCTCAGTTCGTATGGCCCTGTGCCAAAATTGAGGTAAAATTATTAAATAAGAATTCGTAAAATACAAAGAAAACTCTGCGAAAGAAATAAAACGTCAGTTAATATTCAGCATCCCCACAAGCATATATATATATATATATATATATATATATATATATATATATATATATATATATATATATATATATTCTTCTCTCTCTATATATATATATATATATATATATATATATATATATATATGTGTGTGTGTGTGTGTGTGCGTGTGCTTCTATGAAGTAATCATAATCTTCCGGTATAGTTGTACATATTCAAGGGGAAAAACACAAGAATATATATATCAGTATGTCAGAAAAAGTTTATATCAAATCCAGGTATCGTAAATATATATATATATACACACACACACACACACACACATATATATATATAAATGTATTTTTATATATATATATATATATATATATATATATATATATATATATATATATATATATATATATATATATATATATATATATATATATATATATATATATACAAAAAACACTGAAATGCAGTCTACGTTGCTACTAGTATATATATATATATATATATATATATATACACATATATATTATATACACACACACACACACATATATATCAAAAGAAAAAATGATATTGATATATATATATACACATATCAAACTTATATATATATATATATTCATATTAAGCTAATATATATATATATATATATATATATATATATAAATAAAGTACATAGATATATTTCTTCGTATATTCTTTTTGAGGATCGGACGGAAATGACAGTGATACTCTTGCGGCTTCAGTAAATTTTTAGGGTATTAGAATTGTTAGCAGATTGATTTTTAAAATTGAGTTTTCATTGTTGTAAACTGTTTGTCAGACTAGGCTAATGAGCCAAGTTTCTCCGAATATTTGTTATTGAGAATTTGAATTCTCGTAAACTGGTTGTCAATCGAAGTTAGCCTAGCATCTCCGACTTTTTGAACTGAAAGTTTTCATTCTCTCAAATTGGTTGTCCATCAAAGATAAAGAACCTAGTTTCTTCGACTATTTGAATTCCGAGTTTGCATTCTGCTAAATGTTTTTATCAACAAAGGCTAGAAAGCCGAGACTTTCCGAGTTTTTAAATTGAGAATTTGCATTCTCCTAAATTGTTTGTAAATCAAATCTAGAGACCTTAGCTTCACCAGTTTTGTGAATTGAGAATTTGCATTCTCCCAAATTTGTTGTCAGTCAAACCCGGAGAGATTGGATTCTCCGACTTTTTCAATTCAGTGTTCGCATTCTCCCAAATTGTTTATAAATCAAATACCAAGAGTCTACCTTTGAATGTTTGCATTCTCTCAAATTGGTTGTCAATCAATGCTGGAAAGCCTAACTTCTCAGACTTTTTTGAATTGGGATTTTGCATTTTTCTAAACTGGCTGCCTATCGAAGTTAGAAAGCCTTGTCTGCTCTATTATTTTATTCGTAGGTCTGGGTAGGAGAAAGTGTCTAGTTATATATTTATCAAGAGTATCGGATCGAAGTAAGCATAATATGTCAGACCCAGAATTTGTACCCAGTTAAACTTTAGACCATTTATACCTTCACGTGTATCAAGAGTTGCGTCTTTTGGTTAATTTTCATATTTTATTTACTTTATAATCCCCTCAGAATACCAGTCTTATAGCGATAGTTTTTATACTTTTCTTATATCCCATTGGTAAGGAAACCAATTCTTACTTGCAGACCTCACTTGGGAACTTCACTTGTGACAGACTAGAACAACCTTCGTAAATATCTATATATTCTTTCCAATGGAAAGAATTTTTTTTATTTTATCAGTACTTGTGACATAATAATCTTATTGCAAAGAAGTACAAATACTTTTAAAAAATCATTATTGATTTTGAGTGCGTTGATTTGTAAAGAAAATTATTGGCTTAATATTGACTTCTTATTATCAGCAAGAACCCAATGAAAGATTATACATTATATATCCTTCAGTACTGGTATACACACACACAGACATATATATATATATATATATATATTTATGTGTGTGTATACACACACACACACACACACACACACACACATATATATATATATATATATTCTTGAAAAGAATTACATGCATAAAATAAAAAGGAACAGTTTTTATGACAAAATAATTTCATTAGCGGAAATCGTTAAAGTTAAAACAAACACACACACACACACATATATATATGTGTGTGAATAACAAAGTTAATCATCAATTGGCTTAAGTCGATCGTTTTCAAGGAACTTTTCAGTTATTGATCTATTGATCTATCACCATTCGAACAATCTCTATCCAGAAATGATAGAATCAGAATTATTGTACAACAGTTTGAAAGTTCTAAGATCAAATTATGTCGAATCTTGAACGCATATTACGATTCATAAAATTTTCGCAGTATTAATATAAGCATCACACAAATAAAAAAAAGATTTTTCGATGAAAGATACAAAAACAATTTCAGATGAAACTGTGATCATAAACTTTAAGTATATAATATCCCTATTCTGTCTGTAAGTAACACTTCCATTAATTCTTGATAACTTAAAAGGAACTTTCCCTTGATTTTCAA